CCGCGTGAGGGGGGGGGGGGAGGGGTTGGTTCCGGGCCACCGTAAAAGGTTTATGGGCCGGGGCGAGTATACGGGCTCTGGTCTGGCCCAAAAAAGGGCCAAACCCGTATAGTCGCCGGATTTTTACAGTTCGCGCGATTTTAAGGAGTCTGTTAGAGATGCTCTTAGTGGGCCACTCAACTGGGTTCCTTGTGATCCTAAAACCTTTCGTTCGAAGCCTCCATCAACATGGACGTATGATAGCGCCAACCATCCGAACCACGGTAAAAACATGATCGCGTCAAGAGTGGTTGCACTCTTTTTTTACCATACCTCCTAATTAGTTGCAGTTCTTTACTTTCCGCTGGTTAATATTCTTGATAGTTTGCTTGTTAAGTTGTTTGGGAAGTGTTACTCTAAAAAACTACCAACCCTAAAATTGGAGTACTTTGAAGGCAAAACAATTTTTGGTGCACTTAAGTATATCCATAATATCTCAGCAACAGCATGGACCAGTAATCATGCTGCCTTCTATGTGAAACGCCTAAATTATTAGAAATCAGAATTAATAATGGCCTTCAAGAAACATCTAATGCCTATTGTAGCTCCTAAGAACTTCTTGAATCAGTACAACAGAAACTGTATCTACTACTCGCATATTATTAATTTAATGTTCATTCAGATGTTTACTTCAGGAAAAGTGGTTTGGAACGTTCGGCTAGCATTGAAAAAGATTTGGAGTGGTTCAGAGAACAAGCAATTGAAATTCCAGAGCCAAGTACTTTTGGATCAACATATGCAGCTTATCTGTCTGAATTGGCTGGGAGCAGTGCCCCGGCCTTCCTTTCCCATTATTACAATCTTTATTTTTCTCATACAACTGGAGGGTTGGCGATTGGTAAAAAGGTAACTCCCTATCCATACCTGATTAAATATCCATGATCTTGTCTCAGTTATTCTGGCAATTCTTCCATCACTAAACCAGATCGAGTTCCGTATTCTGTATACAATAAAAATTAGATGCTTTGTGCTGTATTTTATTTTCTCAAGTCATGTCATATTCTGTTGCATTGCTTATACAAAGCACTTATTTCCCGACGCCGGGGCCAATATATTAGCCTTAATATGGGTAGTACTGCAGAGTATCTATTCCTGGTAGAAATTTTACAGTCATCCTGTTTATAGGTGACATGATTTTATTTGGACAATCAGTTTATTTGTCAGACAAGTTGTGATGGGACTGTTCAGGAAATGCCCATAAGTTTGGTTGATATAGAATGAAAATGGATCACTGTGAAGTACAATCATGAGATAGTTGCAGTGTGCCCCCTCTGTCCTTTGTGAGATCAAGTATGTTTTTATCGTGAACTTTTAAAGGGAAATGTATGTTCTGTGCAAGCCTTCGTATTTGCCAAAAACCGTCTTCACAATCATTTTACCTACATTTCTTTAACTGAATATTTTGGCTTGGTAATTGGACTCAGGTAAGCGCTGTTTGGCCTAGTATACTGCATTTTTCTTCAGATGATGGAAGAGAACATCCCCCCAGCCTGTACATCAATTATAAAGTCTAGTACTTCTCAAGCAAAACAAAATAAAGTAGCAAACTACAAATCACCGGAAACTCAAAAATTACATAGTCTAGTATACTGTGTACACCTCTGACTCCTTGTTGTAAATACCACTTGTATTTTTGGCCCAACCTTGTAAAAACCGGCGTAGCTTGAATTGCCAACGTTCGATTGACGTGAATCCTTGCTGCTCTTGTTGCCAAACTTTGGCGACTAAATCATATAACCCATCCCGATTCAGCCAACCTAGCTCAAACTTAAGAAGGGGCTGGTTGCCAACATGGGCAGCATTGTCGGCATCAAGGAGCAGCGGGGTATGGTCAGAAAGAAAAGTCTCCAGAGGCCAAACTGAGACCAAAGGAAACCTATGTTCCCAGTCTGAATTCATAAGGACACGGTCCAACTTTTCAAAAGTAGGGTTGTCAAGTGAATTAGCCCAAGCATATTGCTTCCCTGCCAAATCTATCTCACGCAGATCGAGATTATCAATGACCACGTTGAAAAGGAATGGCCAGAGAGGTTCAAAATTATCATTGTTCTTATCATCAGCCCTATGAATGATATTGAAGTCCCCACCAATGAGCATTGGGAGGGTTTCCTTCTTACAAGCATGAACTAAATCGATTAAAAATCTGCGCTTGTATTCAGGCTGTGCCGCCCCATAAACTGCGACAAGGATCCATTCAAAACCATCTCTTTATTTCGTAGCCGGAACTTAATTAAAGATTTGCTATGCTGTCTTCGATGAAAGCCTCTGAAGAAGTATTGCTATTTTCTCATGTAACAGACGTGCGACAAAATTTTGGATGGGAGATTGCTGGAGTTCTACAAATGGGATTCTGACCCAGAAATTTTACTAAAAGATGCTAGGGAGAAGCTTAATGAGCTTAGCAAGGTACACATTGCGCAATGTTTTCCTGCTTTCATGTAAAGTTGAAACCATCCCCATGAGGTATGTGATTGCTGGTCTGATTAGCGCGTCTCTTCTGCGGTGCAGCACTGGTCTCGGAAGGACAGGAACTTGTGCTTGAAAGAAGCCGCAAAATGCTTCCAGTACATGGGGCGGATCGTGCGGTTAATCGTTTCATAGACAAACGACCAATCTCTCTACAGGCTTCACTTGATTTGAACCTGAAGACGGGAAAAGCTAGAGGCTTAGTGTAGTTTCATCTTTAGAGATAATGTTTTCTAGAGGCGGCTCGGCCCATAGATGTCTTTTCCTGTTAGAGATGGAGCTGATCGACTTGTGCTTCGCGACTCCTGCTCGCCTATTCTTGGTGCCACGGGTGCATCTCCGCGCCTTCTTCATCTACTGGCAGGTGCTTCCTTGGGCAGTAGACGGCCTACTTCCTGCCTGACTTCTGATAATGTAGGGGGTACTTGAGGAAAACGAACTCAGTAACTTGTGATAATGATGGTGGTGATTTTGATGGTAAATGCTGGAAATCTTCTAGTACGTGGTGTAGCCTATCTAGGTCAAAGGAGTGGACCCCCTTCCACGGTGCCCCTGGTGCCCTATATAGCTCGGAGACTCCATGCCAGTGTGCGAGGACGTTTTTCTTTTTTTGACAATTATCTCCTTGTTTATTTATTCATAAGGATCGTAGCACCGCCCATCCAGATATTTGGAGGAGAAACTCTAGCTATCCTAGAAAGTTCATGAGCCACTTGATTTTTTTCTCTATTACAATGATCCTAGATGACATGAGCTACTTGATTTCTTTCTCTAATACAGTGTGGCCGTTCATGGATAGGAGTCGGCGGTAATGTTGGTTTACAATCTGTATGGTCCTTTTCTCTACCATGTCAGTGTTTTCATATATGTAGCGCTCTCTTGATTGAAAGTCTCCGTAGGCGGTGGCGCTTCTCCTTGGGTTGATGTGTTGTACTTCCTCTGTTTCTAAATACAAGTCTTTTTTAAGATTTTAAATGGACTACAACATAGAAATGTATATAAACATATTTTAGAGTATAGATTCATTCATTTTGCTCCGTATGTAGTCTTTTATTGAAATCTTTAAAAAGACTTATATTTGAGAATGGAGGGAGTACTAGGTAATTAGTTCAGAGTACAAAGTGCACTACACAGGGGGAACACAAAGTGTAAGAACGTTGGTGAGTAAAAAGTTGTACATTGTTGCAGGGAGCACAATTGCACTACATGAGAAAGTGCAAGTAAACTAGAGTTTGGAGTACAACTTGCCCTCAAGATATTTTTTTGTCAAAATCTATTAATATATATAGACCTAATTTCGAAGATCACGACAAGAGGGAAAAAAAACCCTCACCAAGACTTCAAGGCCTCCTTTGGTTTAGAGGAATCTTGTAGGAATTTCATATGATAGAATTTCTATAGAAAAAAAATTCTTTAGAGCCCTTTGGCTTGTAGGAATAGAACTCTATTTCTATGAAGGAATTCTTCCTATCCTCTATATTTCATGAAAAAATAAACATTAGCCTAGACTTAATGAAAAAAAAAATCCTATGATGTGAATCAAAAGGCATCTCCTTTCCTATTCCTACTCATAGGATTTAAGATACATATCATCTCATTCTGTGATGTGAATCAAAAAATATCTACTTTCATATTCCTACTCATAGAATTTAAGATATATATCATGAGTACGGCGTTTTGGGTCACGAGCGACATGGCGCTCGGTATCCCAATCGTTCGGTGGAACATGGGGATCTGGGCCAAATTTATTTAGCCAGACAATACGGACTTGAATACATCGAGTTTCAACAGTGTTGTTGTATGCGGCTGGCCAGGCTCATCACGTGAACAGATGTGCGAATATTTGCTTTGGTTTTGAAGTGGCCCGGGTGGATGGTTGGCAGTCAACTGTTGCGCACCTATTTCTTAGTATGGGCCCATGTAATACATGCAGAACAGTTAACAACGGCTCTAAATAAATTCTCAAGAAAAGAAAACTACGGCTCTAAAAAGAGATAATTAACTATTTTTGCGCATTAAAAGATAATTAAGTATGTTCCTGAAATTCACTAAGAAAGACACAGCCCCATAAAGAAAAAAATTTACTACACCGACAGGCAAATGTTTATTGATGATGGTTTACGGGGCGGTCTCTCTGGTAATCCTATCTCCTCCCCTGATTTTTCTTGATGTGTCCTTTGTGATTTTCAACCGGCCAACCCCATCATTTCACATCAGCCCATAATTCCAATCTATAAATATTTGCGTATAACTGTAGCATTATATTGCTTAAAAGAATGATGATTAAGTACGATGGTGGAAACACTGAACTTTTTTTTCTGGTGGCTCAAAACACTAGGAAGGCTTCTTTTCTCTTTGTTAATTTTTTTCATTATTTTTCATCATTCCTTGTTTTCCCATTTTCTTTACATATGTTTTCTTTTGAAATTCATTTTCTTTTCTTTTCTTTTTCTGTGCAGTGATTGAACATTGTTTTTTTTTTCTAAGTTTGCTTATACGGATCTTTGGTTGTCCTTCATTTCATGCATGGCCAGATAATTTGTTTGGGGCAATATGCCATGATGTGGTACTTAATCGTGAAAAAAAAGCTCCATATTAATTTTGAAATTTCATAATGTGCCCATTTTGATTTATTGGGGTCAATTTGTGGTGTTATCATTTGAATCATGGAGGACATTGAAGTGAAGTGTACTTTTTGATTGCCAAACTGACCGATAAGAATGTCTTCATCTGGAGAATATATAACAGCCCTAGTTGCTTTAGTAAAAAAAATCCTATCAATTACTAAAAATCATGGGCAGAACATTAGTAAATTGTGTCAGGAAGATCTATGCCCTTGATTACATTAATATTCATAACATTGAAGGTTTATGCAGTTGACATCATGCTAAGTACAGGATATTGCCTTTGGAGGCGGAGCTCGATTTTGAAAAAATTAAATTTCATGAATTTTCATATTTTCTATGTTTTAAAAAATTCTGAAAAAATACAGATATACATGGAGGCAGAACACACATGTGTGTAAATTTTCAGGTCAAAATACGTTGAAATGAGGGCTATGCAAAAAAAGACAAATTTGGGGATTTTTAACACATGATACTATTCATCCTTGCAAGCATGAATTTATCTTTTTTGTACAGGTCGCATTTCAATGTATTTCATCTTGAAATTTTACATACATACATATAACATCCTTGTTTACTTGCACAAATTTTTTCAGACTTTTTTGAAACCAAAAAGTTTGAAATTTGATTTTTTTTAAAGGCCTCTATGAAGGCCAAGAGCCAAACGTCCGTTCTCGCTAAGTACGCACTAATAAATTAGATAGACATAAATTAGTCAAGACTGAACAAACCCCTATCCAACATCTTTTCTAGCCCATCAGTTGGACACCTCAACCCGTGCCATTTATGTCTCTTACCGACCTGCTATGGTGGGAATACGGTCCATATACTTCGATGAGACGCGCACAGGGCAGAAATCATGAGCCAATGTGATGGCCGTGATTCCGAGCTACATGGTGCTCGGGCACCAAAGAGGATTTTCGATATATCATCTCATTTTTTATGACATTTTTATTCCTACAATGTTTCTTCCCTATCAACCAAAGAAGGCCCATTGCAGCGTTTGAAAACGTCAGTCACCGAAGAAAAAATCAGCCCACAGCGACGTCAACCTAGCTACATTTATGCGCGCTTATTTAAGGCCACCCTGCTAACTTCTTCCCCTGCCCTCCGTCCCAAGTCCCAACGCCACAGCTCCGAACCAACACCCCCATAAATCCAACCAACACATAACCACTCTCTCTCTCTCAAACGAAGAGAAGGAAGCAGCAAGGTACGCCCATGGCGCCATCACCTCGGCCGTACGCCTCTCTGCTGCTGCCATCTCTCGTCCTGCTCCTCCTCGTCGCCTCCTCCCGCGCAGCGAGAGTGGGAGCAACCGCAAGAAACCAGGCAGCCCAGGACGGCCGCGCAGAGGAGGACGCCGGCGGCGAGGCGGCGGCGGCGGCGGAGGATGAAGGTTGCGGCGGTGGCGCCGAAGGGGGAGATGGAGGCGATGATGAGTGCTTGATGAGGAGGACGCTGGTGGCGCACACCGACTACATCTACACCCAGGGAGGAAACCACAACTAGCTAGCTTAGCTGGGACTGAAATCATAGCATCATATTTGTATGATCAATATGGAGATTTTATCAGCAGTTGGGCACTTTTTTTTTTTTGCGAATCGGGTACTCGATTGTATATAAGCTGGTAGAGAAATCTTGCTGAGTTGTTTGTGATCCGCTGGTCAAGCCAGTGCGTTGGCTGGCTTGAGTAAGAACACAGGAAAGAATCTTGTACGTCACCCTTGAACAATAATGATAATGCTACTGTTGTGTATGGGCGATGCATATTATTTGCTCAACTTTGGAAATCTAACTGCCATGTCCCTCTCAATCGCTGACCCATATCCATGTAAGCTCTCGCTCGTACTACATTTACGTACATGCGTAGGAGCAGTGGCGAATCTAGAAAAAAAATGGAGGGCGGGCTGAGCTGCCTGGGTCACGCAAATATGTGTTGGATTGGGCCTACAAGGAGTTGGACTGGACCTTAAAACTAGTAGTAGAAACAAATTTTACAGTGCTGGAGAGGTGTTTGAGCCTGTTAAAGCCCCTCAGTAGAATCGCCCCTGCCTAGGAGTAAAAGCAGTACCGATGCTTTTTGAACGCTTGCAGTTCAGACCACGGGATTTGATTATGGTACGTGCAGGCGGAGAAAGAAATCATGTTGATCGCACCCACGGTTAGCGCGCGGCCGGGTTAGGCACGGCACGGAGTGGGTGTAGCGTGTCCCGCGGTGTACGTACGTGACCGTACCCTACGCAGATGGGCAGGACCAACCGAGTGCAGGTCTTCTTCCACTCATGGTCTCCAACTCCAACTTGGACGCACACCTGTACAGGACGGACGGGCACATGTGACCGGTGGGTGTCGTCGTCGACCAGACAGTCAAAAACTCAATCTTGACCTATCAAGACTTGATGGTAGCAAGCGAAGGCGAAGCAATGATGGATGGAGGAGCACACCTCGTGTCATGACTCGTCAGCTAGCTAGCTAGCTAGCTTGAGACCACACGTACGTACCAACCTTTCATGCTGCCAAGCTCCAAGAGGACAACTCGAAAACAACTCACAAACATGACTTCAAAAAAATAGAGGGATGCACATCTAAAAAATAATGAAAATGGAGGGATCCAGAGCGCTAGCTAGCTGCAGTATGACAAGCTTGTGAGTTGTGACTCTTGTCCTATGTAGTACTACATGGTACAAGCAGCGAACGAGGTAGAGCCCAGCTGACGCGTGAGCCTCATCACCAAAATCCTTTTATTTCAAACTTCATCACTGGACTGCGTTAAACTATGGATGAAGCCGCACCGGCCAAAGTATGGCATCCATCTGCCAAACAATCTGTCGTATAAAGAACAAGAGAAAGATGCATGGTCCCTGCTTTGCCAAACTTCTTCATGTTCTCGCGTACTTTTTGGGATGTTTTATAAGGTCTTAGAGCAACTCTAGCAGACCTCATAAAAAGTCCCGACCCACTAAATAACCGTAAAAATGCGGGTCGGCACGAAAAATCCTGCCCGAACAGATCCCGCAAACGCAGCCGGCCCGCAAATTTTTTTGAGGGGCGCGGCAAAATCTCGGCCTCAACCCGCGAATAAGCGGGTTTCCGTCTCGCCCCTACGGTGCCCCGTATTGCAGTCAAGCGGTTGGCGGGAGGGACATTTCAGCCCGTGCTCTTTCCCCATCTCCTTTCGCCGGCGATTCCGGCCAAATCTGCGGGCGGAATCGCGCCGCGGAGGCGTCCCCCACCCTCCACTGCACCGTCCCCGGATCCGGCGAGAAAAGACACCCCTCGTCGCTGTCGCCGTCGGGGATCGACCGCCCTCGAGCCCGTCCCTCGTCGCCGCCCAGGATCACCCGCCCCACGAGCCGTCGGTTAGTGTTTGTTTGTGCTTTGTGCTGAGTGGTATGCATAGTTGATTGATGCGGCGTGCGATTCTTGTTCATGTAGATGGAATTGAGCCCGTGCGAGAAGTTCTTGCTCTCCGATTTGTCCGATTCGGACGACTCGGATGTAGAGACGATGCTTGCAACCTTTCGACAGCAGACATTAGTGATGGTACTTGCCGTGAAGGAGCACGAAGACGAGAACCGGAAGAGGCAGCAAGGATCGACCGTCGGGCGCCTTTGCATTCCTCGGAATCGCCATCTCGGGAACGAGATGTTGATGCAAGGCTACTTCGCGGAGAATCCAGCATATACACCGCACCTCTTTCGGAGAAGGTACCGAATGCGCGGTCCCTCTTTGTGAAAAAATTTCAAGCTTGCGAGGCAAATTGTCGGTATTTTACTCAAAGAAGAAATGCTGCGGGCTTAAAGGGATTTAGTGCATATCAAAAAATCTCCGCAGCTATGCGGGTGATTGCATATGGCGTTCCGGCTGACTATGCCGATGAGTACCTTCGCATTGGTGAAGATACCACAATTGAGTCAGTGCGTAGATTTGCCAAAGTGATCATCCGTGCCTTTGGTCCTGAATATCTTCGGACACCCAACGAGGATGACACAAAGAAATTGATGGCATCTAATGAGAGAAGAGGTTGGCCTGGCATGCTAGGTAGCATTGATTGTATGCATTGGATTTGGGAAAATAGCCCGAAGGCATGGCAGTGAATGTATTGTGGCAAGTCTCGTGATGCAACAATTGTGCTAGAGGCTGTAGCATCCGACGATTTATGGATTTGGCATTGCTTCTTTGGTATGCTGGGCACTCTCAATGATATCAATGTGTTGTGATGGTCTCATTTGTTTGCTAGGCTTGCTAGTGGTGATGCTCCTGCTTGCAACTACATTATCAATGGGCATGAATATACAAAAGTGTACTATCTTGCAGATGGTATATACCTTTCTTGGTGCACATTTGTCAAGAGCATCAAAGATACCAAAACTAGAAAACATTGTGAATTCGCAAGGGTCCAAGAGGCGGCCTGAAAAGACATTAAAAGACCATTCGGGGTTTTACAATCTAGGTTTGCCATTGTTCGTGGTCCTGCTCGTTTTTGGGACAAGAGGACCTTGAAAAATATCATGACATGCTGTGTTATCCTTCACAATATGATTCTTGAAGATGAGAGAGGAATAAACTTGGAGTTCTTCTACGACAATGTGGGTAGCCGTGTCAAACCAGCTAGAGACCCTAACCGCATTAGAGCTTTTCTTCAGACCTACAAGGAGATTGAAAATGAAAAACCCACTTTCAGCTTTAGGAGGATCTCATTCAGCACCATTGGCAAAGGGCTGGACAGTAACAAACTTATTTTGCTATTCATTTTTATTTAATTCATGTGTTATTTGTACTCTGGACAAGTTTTGTATTGCATTATTTAGTTTGCTTCGTTGATTTGAATAATTTTTTGTAATGTGAATGATTGTTGTATTGTGTTGGTTGTAACGCTCCGAGACCGATGTGCCAGGTGTCCTCCAGTTATTCGCTATTGTTGCCTTGTCATTGCTTGCGTGTCATGCATTGCATATCATGTCATCATCTGCATTTCATTTGCATACATGTTCGTCTCATGCATCCGAGCATTTTTCCCGTTGTCCGTTTTGCAATCCGGCGCTCCTATGTCACCAGGTGTCCCTTTCCACCTCTTTTCATGTGCGGGTGCTAAACGATCTTGGATTGGACCAAGACTTGTCATGCGGCCTTGGTTTACTACCGGTGTACCGTCTGTCAAGTTTCGTACCATTTAAACTTCGTTTGGTACTCCAACGATTAACCGAGGGACCGAAAAAATCTCGTGTGTGTTGCAGCCCAACACCCTTCCAAAGTGGCCCAAAACCCACCTAAACCTCCTCTATCATCTCGGTCGTTCGATCACGATCGCGTGGCCGCAAACCGCACCTCATTTGGACTCTCCTAACTCCCTCTACCTATATATATATATATGTGATCCCCTCCGAAATTTTCGCGCAGTCTAACCCTAGATCCAACTCCCTCCGCGCCGCCGAACATGTCTGCCCGCCGGCGGACGCGTCCACCCCGCCGCCACGTCGCCCGGACCAATCACGGGGTGACACGTCATCAGCCGCCGCGCCTCAGCCAACCCTGTGCCGCCACCTGTCCGCGCCTGGCCTCAGCGCGCCGCCGCAGCCCGCGAGACCCGGGGCAGGCCCTCCCGGCCCGCAACGTCCGCCGCCCGCGCCCCGCGTGAGATGCTGCGCCGCCCGCCGTCTTCTCCGCCTCCGGTCGCCGGAGCCGATCCAGCCACCACCTCCACGCGCCTCGCCGGAGCTCGCCGCTCCGCATCGTCGCCGCCTCGTCTCGGCGCCCGAGATCGCCGGCCGACGCCGTCCGCCGCGGCACGCCGCCCGACCACCGCCTCCGTTCTCCGGCGTCGACCCCTCCATCTCCCGCCACCGCATCGCCGGCGGAAGCGCCGCCCCGCCGCCGTCCTTTCTCGCCCTCGCCTCGCCGGAGAAGAACCGCCTCGTTGGAGTCCAAGTCCGGCCAGATCTGGGCCGGGTTGGATCAGATCCACCCAAACCTCCAACCAAACGGTGTCCTGCGTCCCCGGATCCCTTCGTCCCGCATCGTCCCTTCCCGGGTTGACTTTTCGCGAGGGTATAATTTCACTAAGTCCCCCAGATTCCAGTAATTTTATGTATTTTTCATCGCATCATAACTCTGCACTCGTAGCTCCGATTCGCGCATGTAGCATATCAAAATGTTCGTCTCGTCGATTACATCATTTCATCTCATTGCATCATTTTCATTTGAGCTCATCTTGATGCCCGAAATGCTGTTGGAAGAGGGCTATGTGAGGAATATTTTAGATCTGTTTCAGCAAATGGCCTTTTGTCATTTTTGACATGATTAATGTGTGCATGCTATGATCCTGAGCTCTACATGTGTTTTGTTATATGCCATGTCATCTTTACAGGGGTGTATGCCATGTATTTTTGTGATCTTTGTGGTGACTAGCATAAGCTTGCAAAGTAGCGTAATCGTTGATGCTGATTTCAGGGACTTGGAATTTCACCAAGTCCTTGTCATGTATTTGTTTTTTATGCCATATGTTCATG